AGGTTCTCTGCCTCTGCTCTACTGCAATACAAATAATGCGTATGCTAAGGACTATTATGGATGTGAAGAGAGGAACAGTTGTGACTCTGTGTAGAGACATTGGTGGAACCTGTAAAAAAACATAAGAGCTGGGTAAGGTATAAAAGGAGTTATGGCAAGTGCTAAGTTACAGCCCTGTGGAGTTCTCCCAGAGAGGGATACACTGAAATAGCAGTCAGAGAAATAGGAGGAGAACGGTGAGAGGATAATGCCATGAAAGCTAGTTGGAGGGCCTAGATGTCGAGTAGGGGAGTGATAATGGTACTGAAGGCCAGGTAAAGATCAAGAACAAATTGGAGGTTCCAAATCTTAGCCAAAAGATATTTTTAGACTTTAGTGATAGCACTTTCAGTGGAGTATAGAGGGTAGAAGCCAGATTGCAGTGGATACAGGAGAGAGTCTAAGAAGAGGTTTGAATATTATTTTTGTCCCAAACTGATCCACTTCTTACCCACACCTTTTATTGTGGATAATTCTGCCAACCTTCCACTCAGGCTCTCATCCTGATTATCATCTTCAACTTGTTATGCTCCTTCTCTCCCAGTCCATATCAAGTTGTGCCTTGATCAGCCTGCTTAAAACCAACTTCTTTCTGCAAGGCATCCATCCCTATATGGAGACTCTGACTTCATGGCTCTTTGGTCTTTTGCCCCATATACTGAGGCTACGTCTATATCGGCCCCTTTTCCGGAAGGGGCATGCTAATTTTTCAGATTGTAATAGGGAAATCCGCGGGGGATATTTAAATATCTCCCGCGGCATTTAAATAAAAATGTCCACCGCTTTTTTCCGGCTTTTAGAAAAGCCGGAAAAGAGCGTCTACACTGGCCCCGATCCGGCCCGATCCTCCGGAAAAAAGCCCTTTTCCGGAGGATCTCTTATTCCTACTTTGAAAAGCCTTTTTCCGGAGGATCGGGCTGGACCTCCGGAAAAGGGCACTTTTTCCGGAGGATCGGGGCCAGTCTAGACGCTCTTTTCCGGCTTTTTTAAAAGCCGGAAAAAAGCGGCGGACATTTTTATTTAAATGCCGCGGGGGATATATAAATCCCCCGCGGATTTCCCTATTACGACCTGGAAAATTAGCATGCCCCTTTCGGAAAAGGGGCCAATGTAGACGAGCCCTGAGTGTTTACTTCACGTTGCAAGTGCCTTATGACAGAGATCTTCTTTGTGTGTGTTGGGATGTGTGTTTTTGTAATGCTCTAAATACTACTGTTCATTATTTTATATTAGTTTCCATGAATTAATGTTTGTCTAGCACTTTGCAAAATGTAAAGCAGTATGGAAGATTATAATATTACTGCAGTTATTTTAAAAACATTTTACAGAAAGAATGCATATATGAGCCAATACTCTTGTTACTTCTTCACATAATGAAGATCATCACACTTTCAGTTTATGCAAATGTTACTTATGACAATGTTCTGTAACTATGTACAGTATTATGATTAATGCTTTATTTAATATATATTTTATACTCATCGAAAGTTGTTGCTTCCTTTCCCATGTTTCCTTTACATATCACATCTCATTATTAGGGGTAAAGTTCTCTAAAGTTTTTTTTTATACAGTCAGGTTTGATTGCTTCTTAATGGCTTTTTGCCACATGAAAGGCCATAGGTTAGCAATGTAATTTCTTTATCCAAAGGTGCAGTGAGTGGCCTTTAGTGGAGAATTCTCGGAGGAGGAGGAGGTCTAAATCCAGTCAGCTTATGGACAAGGTTTCAGCAGCTCCATAGCCCTTTTTGGTGGCTACTCCAGCTTCTGGACTGCAGTAGTTGCCAATAACCTGACTGTCTGCTTGACAGACTCTGTATATTTGCAGGCTTATTGGCTACATACCTGCTCATCTTCCATGCTGGCCTATGTGCATTTGGCACTGAGAATAGCTCTGCTACATTCAGGGGATATAAAATGTCTCTGCACTTCTGTCTTCCTCTCTGCACACTAGAAAGATGACCATGGCTTGTCCACTGCTGCGTATGTGTCACCCCTAATGGGTTTGGTCATTTTAGTCAACAAAGCTAAGGCCTTGGATTGAATAAAGTATCACTTTTTCAGTGTTACAGGATTTGAGGAGTCAGATGTGTTGTTACACAAAACACTGCAAGTGTAATACACACAGTCTAATCAGATCCTCTATTGATATTACTTCATATTGTTTTTACTGATATAAATAAATAGCCCTCTAAAGGAACCGAAGAATGAATAGAATTGAACTGCAACCATAAAGCTATGCTTAAATGAGCCAAGACATGTTGCTTATGGTGTGTATGGTTCAGCCTACAGAGCCATTAGTGGTTCCCACTTTAAATCACAAATGCAGTAAATGTGATGCCAGATCATAGAATATCATGTTGGAGGGAGGTGGAAGAATCCATTTTCCATCTTTGTGTTCTGAGTTTTCAATGCCTTCATTTTAATTCAAGCATTTCCATTATTATCCTAAGTATAATCTTCTTAGACCATGTTCAAATCATTCAGATGTTTCTATAGTATTAACTCTATTGAGTAGGTGTGGAATATATATAAATATATATGATTATGCCATTTTAATCATACTACATCTAGTTGTACCTGACAGTGTGATACTAAACCAGCCTCTTTGCTCAATTTTAACTTTCATGGTCTAAAGGCTTTGAATTATATTTACTCTATTTAATCAGTAAATTGAACTATTATGAAAAGGTAAAGATGTAAGACTTAGTGGGCTTTCAGAAATGTTTGTTGGTGTGTAATTAGATTATTACTCTAAATAAAAATATTTGTCTTCTGAATTAATTTAAAAAACAGAATTGGCACCAACTGCTGTATAATATCTCCAGTAAACTGGCTCTGCCTAAGTAAGGGCAAAATTGTCGTCTGATCACACTGTGGTTTAAAGCTGTACTTCTACTTTTGCTGCTGATACAGAGCTCTGATACCAAAATGATTTCTTTCTGTGCATGGCAGAGGAACATACTATTAATACCAACTACCACCATGAGAGTGGAATATACTGATAGTATAAATTGTTCTATCAAAATCATGGAAAGACTAAACCTACTTATAATAAAAATTCTGGCTGAACTATAATTATAGCATTAAACAGAGCCATAAATAAAAAAACAGGATCAATAGCTGTCAAATGTCTGCCGGTGATATAAAGATTACTTTTCTATAAAGCTATGAAAGCTGAAAAGATCACTTCAAGTACGATTTTAAATGATATTGCTACTGGAACTATATTTTAGCCAGACAAGGCTCTGCTATTTAAAGTGAAAGACAGATGGAGCACTAGCTTGAACTGAAAACAAACCCCCTTTGTTTGCAAAGAAATGGATGAGCTGATCATAGCATTTCTTCATTATGTGTTTTATCACTAACTTTTAATTGAAAAATTTACAGAATGGAATATACTCTTCCCTTTTTCAGTAATAACTGAATCGGAACCTTGTTTTATTACATTCACTGAAGTTAAATTATTAAAACTGCAAATGGGGCATGTCACTTTTATTAAGATAAATACCCATTATGGCTGTACTTTTTTATTATTATTGGCTTCACAAATCTTTTCCTTTAAGTTCTCTGCATTTTTTTTATTCATTTGTGTTTTATTCTAACCTTTTCCAGGTTCTTTCTCTTTAGAACATTTTTCGGGCTTTTTGCATTGATTAATTTTTTTATATTGGTTTGTAGTGATTTTTTTGTGACAGTGATGGCCCCTGTATTTAATTCTTTCCCTCTTTCTTGAAACTTTTTTATTTATTATTTTCATATATGCTGGTGAACTTTGCATAGAAGGTTGTTTTAACAGCAAAAAGCATTCTTAATAAGAATTTATTTTTTAAGAAAAAAGATGAAATGAAGAGCAAGAAAGCAGGCCAGAAATTCAGAAATTGTTTTACTCTGATGCATTTCAGTAATATTACCTCACACACCTTGACTCTCCAGTGTACCAGAGTGACAGATATAAGTGGAAAACTAAATTATTTGGAACTTCAATTGCCTTCTGATTGGCTGTTTTTAAAATTTAATACATTATATAAAACTTTATTGCACTTTCACGAATACATTTTTTGTTTACTTTTTTTCCTTAAAATTGTATATGTAATTTGATTTTTAATTAGTTGATTATTTAGTGACGGTGGGCAGGAACTTAATTGTATGAGTAGTGACATAACTTAGCTTCGTTAAGAGTGCAGAATCCAGTACATGCTATCAGATATTAGCTTTTACCTCTTTTGCTACACATAGGACATAACTTGCACCCTTTTAAAATATATTATTTTGAAATTGAAGGCATAAATATAGTTTTTAATGCTCATATCTTCAACTTTGTCTTCTCCACTTTGTTCTGAGCTGTTATACTAGTGCTCTGTTCTAAACAACATACAGATCAACTGCAGCAGAACTCACTTAAGCAATAAGTCCACAGTAGGGTTTTTTTCTCCAAAATACTCATTCACAAGAGACAGAAATGCACATATTGGGCCAGAACCTATTGGGAGGAATGTGTAATAAAAATTAATGTAATGGCTCTATAACATGCAAGTATCCCGCTACTCAGGGGAGATCCTCTTGTAGCTAGGTAAATTAGCTTTAGGACAAGTTTGCACAAATTAAGTTGTGAAATGTTGCTCTAATGAAGGGGAGAAATTGAAGCTATTAATACTGTATTTATGTTACAGTAAATATTGTTCCCTACAGAGCATAGAAAATGTCACATTACTATTGAGGTGGTCTCTTACTGTTGTTTTATCATCAATCTGGCAAACAATTGTTGGTAATGGCATTTTTTCCCAACTATGAACCATCCAAGGTGACCTTTTTGAATTCAGGGTGTTTTGTAATATATGCACATTCTAGAACAGAAAGTATAATATTGGCTGTACACTGAAATCAATGATTTTTTTTTTGTTTATGGCAAAAAGTCTTTTTCACCTCATTTTCTTAAAGTCCTCTATTTTTGTCATTAATAGATTGAAATACTAAAGAAAAAGATCAAGCAAAAGGAATTGTTTATAATGCAGCTTCTAGAAAAAATTTCTTTCCTAGAATGTGAGGTAAGGACTTAAATTAGCTATATTTTTTTTAAAAGTTAAAAAAAATTAAAAAGTTAAAATTGTTTTGATGTGCTTTATAAGAAATGTTAGTTAGAACCATGCTGCCTGATATTTTCTTTATGTAAATTCAATGACTCTAGTAAGTAACTGGTCTTGAATATGGAAACAAAAATAGTTATGACATCAGGAACAGCATGAATGCATGTAATAAATAACCTTTGCACTTTTGCTGAATTTTTGTAGCATACAGTTATGCATATGCACCAAAAAGATAACAATAAAAATCCTAGCATTCTAAATGTAGGCAAGATTGACAAGATTGACTTTTATTTTACAATTACTGCAACTGTAAAATAAGGAAATGTGCATACTCTAAATAATATTTTTAAATATCAATGAAGTCTAATGCTGGACTTTATTAATTAAAAGAAAAATATATTATGTTAATGAGTTGAAATCATGTATACATATTTGTCTTCTGAAAAAATGCATCTTGAAAGTCATGCAGAAAATTCTTCTTTTCCAGAATAAAGAATTACAAGACAGGTTAGACTACTTAATGGAAACCCAGCCAAGGACGAATGTAGAAACAAGAGAGATTGGAATAGGTTGTGATCTTCCATCCAGGTATTCAGAGCTTTGTCTAATTTATTGGGAAGGGTTCTCTACAGAAAATCACTCTGGCAATAAACCTGTCCATTAAAAGAGCATATGGTTTTGAAACAGTTTATATCTCTACAAACTGTAATTTCTGAAGAACTTATCTGCAATTTTATTAGGCAGTGTATTTTTATTTAATGGTCTTTTTCTTCATGGCATACAGAGTGGCGTGTAGCGTTAAAATGATATTTACCATTGACTTTATTTCGGTCACCTACAACAATCATGTTTTTTTCCTGAAATTAATGGAGCATACTAGAGACTCCGGGAGTATTTAACTACAAAGGGGTAAAATGATAAGAGAGTTAAATCTAGTCCCCTGGAGTTCCACCTTTTGGAAGAATATCAACGAACTGTTCTTGTGACCTGTAGGAAAATTAATGTTCAAGTTTTTGCTACTGACAGTGCAGCAGAACATTAGCACAATAGTTGACTTGCATAAATATCTGGTATGTTAGGCAGTACTAAAATTTGGCTGCAATTCTGTAGTTCAAATCAGGCTCATGTTATGTCTTCATAAAATACATGGTCCATCAGTATTTTAAAAAGTTGCATTTGCTTAAAATTGCCAGATATTATCCTAGATACAACAAGAATCTAATATAGGAAGTAAATTATTGTTGATCATTGTTTGTTGTAAGAGTTCTTACAATATCACTATTAACATATTAACTGTAGAACTATGTACATATAACTAGGCAAATCCAGTTCTAAGCCTGCCTAATACACGCTTCGGGGAGGGGAGGAAAACGTGGTAAGTCCTTCTGAAGACTGAGTAGTGACAGTACAGCGCTTTTTTTTTTTTTTTTTTTTAAATGGCTGCCATAGTTTTTCTACATGCCCCCGGCCCTGCATGGGGACTTGCCAGTGAATCTTCATGGTTATGTTTCTCCCTCCTTAGCCTTTACCTAAACCACTTTCCTTGCTTTGAGGGGAAGTGTGTCTTCCCTGTCCATTAACATGGATTGCAATGTCTTTCTTACATGATTCAGTGGAACCATGTTAGTTCTGGTGTAACCAAGGCTCTGTGCACTTGCATTAGGAGTAGGATAGAACGCACTTAAAATAAAAAGTAATAATTGTCCATGAACAATAAACCCTAATATTTTGGCCATTTTAAAAATACCTAGCAGTACACTAATCCATTTAACAGCCCTGCAAAATAAATCTTTAATTTTGAGGAATGCAAATAGTCACATGAAATCAGTAAACTATCTTGTATAATATAATTTGCCCTCCTAATATTAAAAACAACCCCATGGCAGTTTTTCAACTCTTGGCAACTTTCATCCTAGAGAGTAATTTAACGGCACTATGAAACTTCAAAAATTGGTTCATAATGAAAAAGCTAACAAACCCTTCTTTGTGATGCTTTTTGGGGGCCCCTTTAGATCTCAAAGCAGCTTTTGCCTACCTCTCAGATTTCTCCCATTCTTTAAACTTATCAAGACATCTTCCAAGTTTAGTTTTTATGAAACTGTTTTATAGTCAATTTTATTTTTTTCAATCCACGTCACTGGTTTTATGGCTATAAATCAGAACTTGGGTTGCTATGTATTCTAATATGTGATTTGATGATGCTCACATCTCAAACGTGATAGTATCTGGCATAAGAATTGTCAAGAGTTCTTCATGACATTTATAAAAATATCTGGCATGTATTAAATGTGCATTACAATTGAAGATAAATCCAATGCTTAAGCTTCTAGAGCTAGTATCACAAAGAACCTTTAAGTCTCAAGTTATTCGTGATGAAGTTTACAGCTGCCCAAATTGATATGTCAAGCAAAACAAGTCAAGCCCTGCAGAATTTGACAGTCAAAATGTCTTTCTTTCTCTCTTAGTAGTACGGACATTGATAGCAAAAGGTCTCCTGAACCTTCAAGACTCGTGAGGACATACATCCCATTCAAGAGAGTCCTGGAGTTTACTATGAAGAATAATACATCTTAAACGCACAAGTCAATGCACTCCTTAACAAATAAGCAAATGCCCTGTGAAGCTTGACATCTGATCAGAATTAAGCTAAGCAGACTCAGAGAAGACCATAGCAGACAGTCTTGATCAGCTTTCTAGCTTTTTAGTATCTTCATATCCGAAGTTGCTACTGACATTAGCATTTTGCATGGGGTTGTGGAAGAAGAGCTGTGTGAAAATGCAATATATATTTGCTTCTTGTGGGGAAGCTGTATAGTGCAATTGGTCATATTTCACACATATTGAAGGAGAGATTGTTCTATAGTTTTCTGATTGTGTGTTGAAATTCTTTCTGTAAAATTAAGCTGTAATTTATTTTATTTTCAATGTAATATAATTAGGTATAAAATCTATAATTCTCCTGTGAAAGGACATTGATTTACAATTAACCTCTTATCTTCTTGGGTGGGTCACCTGTTACAGTGCCAAGGACTCATGTTTGCCTAGATAAGGTGTACTAGTATTCTTTTGCAGAATATTTACAGCAGAGTTGTGTACCTTGATCCTACAGACACTTGCTAATAATATATTGCTTACTACTCTCAGTATAAACACGGAAGCTTTACTGCATTGTTGGATTCAGACCATTGTTTGTTCTGTTAGCTGTAAGAAATACAGTCAGTGATAAATGTTTGTAGACTCAGGACCAAGTCTAGTGGTGAAGGCCCTACCACTGGTATTTGGATTTGTTCTTGTCCCTTTTTGCCCAGGAAGAGGAACGAATAACTGCAAAGCAGAATTTTGCCTTCAAAGATATTAGCTGTACATTATTCTATTTTGTGATTTAGGTTTTTTAATCAGAATACTATTTCTTCAAAATCTGTCTTAATATCACATGCCCACTTTTTATGTACAGACAGAAATTACTACATCTATTCTACCTGCAAGTATTTTAATACCAGGATGATTTTTAAAACTTGTTTATAATCCCAGAATTTTAAAACTATGCTAATTTTATTTTAAATATTGTTTATGGTTTTATTAAAATTAGTTTTTAAAAGAATAACTTTATTACAGTCACAACTGTATTTATTTTAAAATGCACTGTTGTTTAATGTTCCTCTAGCATTTCATATTATTACTGGAGGACACTAGCCATGCCTCAGGGTTTCTCAAAATGAATGTTTCCCAATCTTAACCAAAGATTTTAAGCTGTGGCACAAGCTGTAAAAACAAAGTAAGATGTTGTGTTTTTAATTAAAATGATCAATAATCTACATCTAACAAATGCCTTGCTTACTTCCAAGGTATTTCATATTTTTCAATGTTAAAGAAGTGTGCTTTAAATTGCACTTTTTAAATGGCAAATAAAATAGCACACACAACGCTTGCATTGGTGTGGATAGTTTGGAACACTTTACAAAAACATACAGAGTTCGAAGAGACCAAAGAAATGAAATGGAATATGAACTAAGTTACCAATTCTGCAAGTTCATATGCACAACAGATTGCACTGTGACTGTGTATTAAGCTGCAGATTTAGGGTCCAGTGAAATTGGACTTCAACTTCTGAAAATATTCATTTTCTAAGATGCAAAGTGTGATATAATACTACCTACAAAATTCAAGGTAAGTTTTGTTTTGTTTTGTTGCCCTCTCCCCTCTAGCCCCACCAAAAAAAAATCAAGGCATGTGTAAATTACTTTGAATACAGTTTGGAGAGCTGTGTAATATCTGCTTATCTAAAGTATTTTATTATAATCTGTGCTAACATAGATGTAGCTGTTTAACGTTTCATTAAAAAAAATCCTAAAATACTAAGTCAGCATTAATACAAGAGATGGGATAAACCTATTTCTCCTAGTGAAAAGACACAGAAATCACTTCTATGGGAAAGGGCCTGAGGACAGTCTGCCCTCCCCTATGGATTACTGTCTACGGACCCCTGAAACGAGAAGCTATTTTTATACTATAAACCAGAGGAATTGTTTTGTGACCAGGTAGCAAGTACAATGAAACTACTAACACCCTGAGATCAATGGTAACTGTTGTTTTAACCTTGTGTGGAGAATCTTTACTTGAATTAAGCTATGGTGCCTGAAGCTTGGTGGCAGGGATGTCCTTAGGATTTATGGAGCCGTACCCAACACTGTTAAACTGGTGCCTCTGTGCCCAACAGCAGCCCAGGGAGAGGGAGGTTTGATGATTTTTTTGGAGATGTGATTTTATAATCTTCAGCAACACACTAATGACATATTTTTAAAACACATTTTAAACTAAGGTCCTGTAGACTAACAGTAAATTCTTCTTTGAGTGGTCCCCATGGGTGCTCCACTCTAGGTGTCGGGCTCATCCCAATGCCGCTGATCGGAGGCTTTTTGTAGCTATAGTCGGCCGGACCATGTGTGCACAGCAGGCGCCGCGCGCCGTTTCTCCCGTCGCGCAGTCCGGTCCCTCTGCCAGTTCCTTTCAACCATCCTATATTGCTGACGGAGCTCTGTTGTCTCTCCACAGAGGCAGCTCCTTTCAATTGAAAAGTTAAAATTTTCATTAGTTTTCCTCAGGTTACTGTTAGTTAGTTAGTTATTTGTTAGTTTAAAACAAACAAAACAAAACAAAAGTTGTAGTTAGTCAGTGTTGCTGTTGCTAAGTTCTAGTTTATTATTACTATTTAATCCAGTAGAATCAAAATGCCTGGTTCACCGGGGTTTAAGAAATGTTCCCTGTGTAAAGACCCCATGCCAGCGTCCGATGGCCACGATGAATGTATACGCTGTTTAGGGGAGTCCCATATACCGAGCAAGTGTGCCCACTGTTCGAAATTAACGGCCAGGGCACGTAGGGACAGAGACATGAGGCTCAAGCTCATCCTCTTTGATAAGGTTCTACAGCCTTCTGAGGCAGCTCAAGGGGACCCCCTCTATGGAGTGCAGGCAGAGGTCATCACCGCCGAGGGAGTTGACTGAGAAGAAAGGGACGAAAGCCTCCCTGGTGCGATCCCTGGCCGCATCCCCTCTGTCTAAAGTCAGTGCAGGTGACCAACCAGACGAAAGAAAAATCAGAACGGGTCGTCCGCCTGCGAAAGAAAAATCAGAGAGGCATAAGCCTTTGGTGCCCTCCTCTTCGGTGCTGGCGCCTTCGAACGCTATTAAGGCTGCGGGGAAGAAAACGGCTCCTCCGACTCACAGGCGGCCACCTACGCAGGTGCCGGATCCGAGGACCTCGGCACCATCGGTGCAACGGCACGGGAGGCATGATACGGTACCGAGGCCGGCACCGCTTCAATCAACGGCACTGACAGCCCAGTCGGCACTGGGGCACCAAACACCCACGGTGCCTGATATGGTGCCGAGTGACAGCCACACTGCAGTACCAGAGGCGGCACTGCAAACTCTTAAGAAACCAAGTACGGCACCGACGGATCACCGCAGTTTGGTTCCAAATAAGGCACCGATAGGAGAGCTAGCCTCCCCAGCTTCATCGGTATGGCACTCCCCAATACTGGTTTTGGATGATGAGGATCAAGCCTCAAAACATTCCTCTGTTGATAAGCCCTGCACCACGCCTTCAGTCATTCTTACAAAGGCTCAGAGGAAATCTGTTCCGAGAAGAGTGTCCCCGTCTCCCTCACCAATGGTTTTCCCCGGCATCGTCTCCATCCCCTCCACGGTACCATTCTCCGTGAGAACCTCATTATCACCACAGCCCGCGTTCTCCGCACCGGCACTCGAGGCCTCACTATACTTATGTGTACAGGCACCCCTACCGCAGTATGTGATGCCTACTAGTAGATCTCATTCACCGACTCGTTCACCTTTGAGGTCTTACCGCAGTAGATACAGCAGTGCCCATTCATCCAGGAGGCCGTCTCCCGACTGCTCCTATAGCCATGGGGGGAGAGATTATTTTTTTCAACATTATACAAGATCTCGTTTTCTTGCTGTTGCCATGGTTCTCTGGCTAGACGCCAGTCCCCAGTGGATTCACTCCAACAGACAGCCCCATTGCCCAAGATTCCGGTGGCTGCTCCTCCTCCTCCTCTTCAGATGTCCGAACCAGAGGAGGGTCAGATTTCGGACGAGGATGCCCCTCCGTGCACAGTATCTCCAGCTGACATTTTGTCATCCTCCCCGGATGAGGCCGTATTTCAATGGGACACTTCACCCCCCGGATGACAGTCGAGAATTCCAGGATCTCTTTAAACGGGTAGCACAGACACAGAATGTCCAGCTGGCGGACGTGCAGACCAAGGAATACAAGCTGCTGAAAAATTTACACCCGAGACAACAGTCGAGAGCAGCACTTCCGATTGATGAGGCCATTCTCGAACCAGCCTCGGAAATCTGGCATACCCCGGCTTCCGCCCCACCTACATCAAAGCAGGCAGAAAAGAGAGATTTCATCCCTTCCAAGGGTTTGGAGTTTCTCTTTACCCACCCCCAACCAAACTCTCTGGTAGTGGATGCAGCCCTTAATCGTGCCAAGAATTCACAGGTGAAAAATGCAGCAGCGGAGAAAGAGGCCAAAAAACTAGACATCTTCTGTCGAAAAGTTTATTCTTCGTCCACCCTCCTTCACATTGCCAATTACGCGGCACTTCTGTCCAACCATGGATTCGATAACATCACCAAGTTGGCAGGGCTTGCCCAGAACACCTCCGAAGCGGACAAGGCCATACTCTGTGCCGTGGTACAGGAGAGGTATGCTTGCTCTAGAGCTAGTCTACAGATAGCCATAGATGTTGTGGATACTGCCACAAGATCAATAGCTACTGCAATATCCATGCACAGAGCATCATGGTTGGCTGCTGCGGGCGTCCCTAGGGGTTTGCAGAGAGGTATGCTTGCTCTAGAGCTAGTCTACAGATAGCCATAGATGTTGTGAAAGACTCGCGTACGACCCTGTGTACGCTTGGCATGTACGTACCACCGTTCCGTTGCCAAAGGTACTTCCCGAATCAGAGACGATATGACTTTCAGTTCCAAAGACGACAACCTCGTCTCTTTGATCAGACTCGATCCAAACAAAGAGCGCAGCATAGATGTTACTTCCCTTATCAGAGGTGATATGATTTTCAGTTCCAAAGACGACAACCTTGTCCTTTTGGTCAGACTCGATCCAAACAAAGACAGCAGCGTAGACGTCCGCAACCATCTAGGGCGACCAACGTACCACACACAAAACAACAGGTTTGACTTGCCTGTCGAGGGTGCAAACTCACCAGTCGTCGTTGCCATCACTGCCGATACCATACCCATCTTTCATCATCACCTTCAGCCTTATTACAATCGTTGGGCTGAAGTAACCACCGACAAATGGGTATTGGAAATAATATCAGGTTTCACCATCCCCTTTGCATCTATACCCCCTACCCATCCACCAACCCCGTCCCTTTTCAGGGACCCCTCTCACGACACTCTTTTGCGACAGGAGGCTCTACGCCTACTTGCCATTGGAGCCATAGAGAGAGTCCCAAAAGAGTTCAAAGGGAGAGGCTTTTATTCCCACTACTTCCTGATGCAAAAGAAGACAGGAGGATGGAGGCCGATTCTCGATCTGCGTCGGCTCAACCGTTATCTGCAGAGAAGACGTTTCAAGATGGTGACTCTGGCCACAATAATCCCATCTCTGAATCACAACTGGTTTGCAGCCCTCGACTTGCAGGACACATATTTTCACATTACAATTCATCCGGCGCACAGATGCTTCTTGTGCTTCGTGATAAACAACCATTTCCAATACAGGGTCCTCCCCTTTGGCCTGGTGTCGACTCCCACAGTTTTCTCAAGGACTCTAGCGGTCGTCGCGGCATATCTCCATCGCCAGCACGTTCTCATATTCCCTTATTTGGATGATTGTTTCATAAAGGCGCCAATGCATTTATGGAGACCATGTGAATGATCTCGTTGACCAGAAACACGTTCGATTCTCTTGGCCTTATAATAAACAAACAGAAGTCGACCATTGATCCCACACGAAATATAAACTTCATAGGGGCAGACCTAGATTCTATCACGGCAAGGGCATACTTACCTCTAGACAGGTTTCACTCGATACAAGAACTAGTAAAGATCCTCAACACTGCTTGTTGGGAATAATTCTTGGACACACTGGGTGCAGGTGAAAACAAGCAGAGGATTTATTGGTTCACACAGCTGGTGGAGTACTCAGCAGGGGTTAACCTGGTGAGCACTAACTTAACCAAAACATACATTAGATTATATGGACGGAGGAGAAGTGATTTGATAGGTCTAGCAGCGGAAGTGAGATATGCACATAAGCCAATGGTCTACGACAGTTACGCAGTATCTTCACCCATTGCCAATTAAACATGTTATCACTAATACAGGTAGTTGTTCCTAACAAGCTAAATAAGCCAACAAAAACAAAGGCATGTTGATGGCCATTTTGTCGGCCGGAAATATAATGCGTCTCTTGCGGGGGTGGTATTGCCTTGGTGCAATCTTTGGGATTCAAGCTTATTTTCTAGGAACAAAGCAGACAATGAAAAACAATCCCGCGCGGTTGTTTGGTACCGGCCTTATCAAAGTGAGGCCCTTTTGGAATGTGGTAACCAGGGTCACAGTAACTGTAATGTATGTTTCTCAGGCTTGGTCTGATACTTTCAGATTTGAGTTTGTCAGTTCTCAGCAAGATACCATGGACTGCCTCAATTTACCCAACACCGCTCCAACTGTATCTGTCTATACGTGCCTTCATCTTCTGGGCCACATGGCATCCACTACCTTTGTTGTCCCTCATGCCAGACTTCATTTCAGGAATCTTCAACACTGGTTAGCGAGGGTATACTTACCACAAAAGCACAGCATTCACAAGACGGTCACTGTGCCGCCACTTGTCCGTGATTCCCTGCGTTGGTGGAAGCACACAGGAAACCTCCTTTCGGGAGTCCCATTCTGTCGTCCTCAGCCCTCTGCGCTTATAACAACAGATGCCTCTCTCATAGGCTGGGGTGCACATATGCACAAAGACCGCATTCAGGGCAGGTGGTCCTCCACAGAGAAGACTTATCACATCAATCTCTTGGAGTTACGTGCCACTTTTCTGGCATGTAAGCATTTTCTTGCATGCATACGGCACACCACGATCAGGATATTCACAGACAACGTGGCGGCGATGTACTATGTGAACAGACAGGGAGGCGCCAGATCTCATTCCCTCTGCGCCGAAGCAATAAGGTTCTGGAATTGGTGCATAAAGAACGACGTAACCATCACAGCATCTTACTTACCTGGCATCAGCAATGTCATTGCAGATTCGTTGAGCAGACGATTCCCTATGGATCACGAATGGGAGATAAGATCAGACGTACTACATTACATCTTTTGCAGGTGGGGTATGCTGACGGTAGACCTCTTTGCCACAGCACACAGTGCAAGTGTCCCCAGTTTTGTTCCAGAGTGGGAATGGGAAGGGGTTCTCTGGGCAACGCTCTTCTGACCACTTGGCACAGATCGCTCCTTTACACATTTCCCCCGGCAGTCCTAGTTGCAAGGACTCTCGAGAAAATAATGTTTGAGGAGGCAACAGTCATCCTGATAGCCCTGGCATGGCCGAGGCAGCCGTGGTACCCACTCTTGCACAGGATATCGATATGCCCACCATGGACACTCCCTCTTCACCCAGACCTGTTATCACAGGAGGAAGGAGCTCTCCTGCATCCCAAACTCGATTCACTCCACCTCACAGCATGGCTGATAACTGGCTCATATATGACAAGCACCTTTGTTCACAACGAGTCCAGACAATTTTGATGAGCAACAGGAAACCTTCGACGCAAAAAACTTACCTGGCAAAGTGACACAGGTTTGCTCAATGGTGTCGAACTCAAAACGTGCAACCCCTTGTTTCTCCTTTGCAGCAGATCCTGGATTACGTCCTCCAGCTTCACGATTCTGGCCTCTCCATGTCAACCCTGAAAGTTAACTTAGCAGCGATCAGTGCCTTCCATGAATCAGTGCAAAGTTTCTCAATTTTTTTTCCCCATCAAACCACGAAAAGATTTTTGAAGGGTCTGACGAACATACACCCACCTCACAGACCGCCTCCACCAGCCTGGAGCCTGGATTTGGTCCTGCACACAATCATTCGCCCTCCCTTTGAGCCCTTGGCATCGATATCGTTGCAAATGTTAACAATGAAAGTTGTGTTCCTATTAACAATTACCTCGGCACACAGTCAGCAAGCTAGGGGCATTAATGGCAAGTCCTCCCTACACATCCTTTTCAAAGGACACAGTGACATTGCGCCTACATCTGGAATTTATCCCCAAAGTTAATACGTCTTTTCATATCAACGAATCTATAGTTTTTAACCACCTTTTATCCTAAGCCACATGCTTCTCTCTCAGAGACCTTGTTACACATGCTCGACGTATGACGAGCTCTCTCCTTTTACATAGAGAGAACCCGCTCATGGAGACGTATAGACAGGCTGCTCGTGTCGATAGCACAGCGTTCCAAAGGCAATCCTCTTTCGAGTCAACGTATAGCTAGACTTATTACTAATTGCATCATGACATGTCATTCACTCAAAGGCCACTTGCTTCTCAGCCTATTGCTCATTCCACTGGAGCGGTTGCCACCTCCACTGCCTTTGCCCGAGGCATCCCTCTCAGCGACATTTGCCGGGCAGCCACCTGGTTCTCTAGCACTTCTTTTGTGCATCATTACGCTATAGTGCGGCGCTGGGCCTCAGACGCGGCAGTAGCGTCTGCGGTTCTAGCCTCTGCAGACAATCATTGACACAGTGCGCATCTTGACTACTGCTTTGTAGTCACCTAGAGTGGAACACCCACGGGGATCACGCAAAGAAGGGGAAGTTACTCACCTCGAGTAGTAATGATCGTTCTTCAAGATGTGTCCCCATGGGTGCTCCACGTTCTTCCCTCCTCCACGCTCCAGGTCTGGCTTCCTGTCTCGTTACAGATTCAGGATGGTGAGAGGAACTGGTGGAAGGGCCGGACCGTGCGACGGGAGAAACAGCGTGCGGCGCCTGCTGCGCATGCGCAGTCTGGCCTTCTACAGCTACGAAAAGCCTCCAATCAGCGGCACAGGGACAAGCCCAACACCTAGAGTGGCGCACCCACGGGAACACATCACGAAGAACGGTCGTTACTACTCGAGGTGAGTAACTTTCCCTTATTCAGGAAAAACTTAAACAACAAATAGTCTAGTAGTACCTACTAGACTATTTGTTGTTTTCTAAGTTTTTCCTGTTACAGACTAACTCTGAAGGTTTAGTAAATTATTCAGAAACTGATAGTGTATGCCTGGGAGTAGAAAATACTTGTTAAATAGCTTCATTACCACTTTCACAGGTTCAATATTCTGCTAATAGGTCTCCCAGGGTTTTTCACTTTTACGTTAACTAGCTGTAGCCAGACATGAACCCCATCTTGTTCTCTCTCCTCCTCCCCCCACCCCAGAAAGCAAGAGAAAGGCAGTCAGCCTTTGATGCCCTGGGAACGCAGGTGTGCTGCCTGACCCTGACTCTACCATAAACAGAAACCAGACAGTAAATGGGCTAGCTGACAACCCAGGGCCTCCCGCCGCCCTGATGGCTAGTACCAGTAATTGACATGCCTCCACTGTCCCAGGAGAGGAATCTTCACCCATCACATACCAGAGGTACTCATTGTCTGCATTTTCCCAGGTGTGAATTATGCTTTGCACCCCTTGTGGGAAACTTGGCTTCAAAGCCATTTTTCCTAATTGGCCACTTGAGACCAGGAAGAAGCCTACGTGACCCAAGGGGTATAAAGAGGGGTTTAGTAGCCCACCCCATTTGAGCTCCAATCATCTACACCTGCTGGCAGGTATTGATTGTCTCCCAAGTTCTGTGGGACGCCCAACCTCGCCCTACTTCTTCCCGAGGGATTGAGAGAAAGACCCTGGCCACGCCAAGTCTGGAACGCAGGGGTGAGAACATATACCTGCTAGATGTCTATTTTGCATGCATTTAATAAGAGCTCAGAGAACCAAAAGGGTTTCATGGTACCTGTAAGTGACTTATTAGTGTAATTTCTGTTCTGTCCTGTCCTTTGTAGTGGCTTTGTTATCTGCAACACAGTAGTAGCATTTAACAGCTAAGTTTACTCTGTAACAATAAAATAGTAATTGTTTAAGCTTTAACCTGACTCCTTCAGTTGCTGTAACAGAACCAAGCACAATTTAAAAGAACTTCAGCCGGTCATAAGGGACAGCTATAAGAAGAGTTGGGCGTTTTAGATCGTGTCACTCCCAGGTGACAGATCCGTTGGGGCATCTCTCAGTCTTCCCTAGACTGCCCGCTGCGAAGGGATCCTGTATCCTAGCAGCTGAAATCTGAGATGTAATAAGCTCTTCCTATAAACTCTGGGGCATCTGTCAGCCTGTTGGCTGCCCTCCGCGACGGGACCCCGGTCCTAGCGGTAAAGTCACGGATGTTAAACCTTTTCTCGGTAACACACACACACACATACACACACACACACACACACACTGTCAGCTGACACTAGCGTATCTGGGGGCTTGGGGGAAAAGGGAGGAGAAAAGCAGAACCATAGAACAAGGATAGGAAGAGGCGGGTGTGTGGACATTAAGATCCAATGGTGTCCCAAATTTTCAGGTCCCCTATACAGCTTCATATTCAGTGTATAGGTAAGGATGGCCCTGTGTGCTTTGTGTCTGAGTTGGCTGAACTGGGTTTCCACCATCTTACAGCTAGTTTGAAGTTTATCATATTTATAAGTGAGGAGTGAAACTTATTGGCAAGGTTTTCAAATACATTAATATGTGCCAGAGATTATAGACATACTGGGTGAGTGAATATCTTATATTGAAACTGTAGTTGGTGAAAGAAACAAGTTTTGAAGCTACTCAGAGCTGGTCTGATGGTGGTTGATTTTTGTATA